CCGCCCAGAAGGAAAAATATAAAGCTGTCCAGAAACGCTTCCAATGCATACTCCACTGATTGTAATCTACAACGTTAAACAAAGCCCAGTGAAGTGATATCAAGTCAAATACAAAGTAAAAAAATTGAAAGCATAATGAGAAGTTAAGAGCATCAAAACAGTGTATTCTTCATATTCTGCGTAAAGTGAAGATGTTGACAAGTTTCTGATTACTTACATCTCCTTCAATGTAATTTTGTTTACCCGGCAGCGGTTATAGGTGAACCAATCCCAATCGATTTCATAGCCCTCTAGCAGCTTATGATAGATATCAGAAGCAGAGAGGCCTGTGATATTAGGCCACGAAAACGGAATCTGCGAAGACCAAATCTGCGACAACGAAATTTCCGCTTCAATTCTGCATGACTCATTGAAATCTGATGCCTTTGTTTCATAATTGGAAAGAAAAAAGTAGGTGTATGGAGGGGAAGATCTATTGGTGCAAGCTGAGGTATCAACATAAAGTGATGAGTTCATTGCTATATTGCAATTTAGAACATACATAGTGTAACCCCCAAACCCGCAACATGGGCAGCTAAGGGAACTGCGAGGAATGGAGCACTTATCCCTCCAAAGACTGGCATCGACCAATCGGACTGTATACCCTGGCTTGTTCCCAACGAATGATTTCCCGTCTGCGCCTTCATAATACCTGGTATATTCAGTGACATTCTCAACAAAGAATTTGCCCTGTTCTGTGACCAAAGTTGTGCGATTATTCTCGCATACTAGTTCATACCCTGGTAAACCACACTCAACAGGATCGGTATTCAATCGGAAAGGGTATTTAATACTATGGTTGCCGCAAGAAGAAAAAGGGGAGCAAGGTTTGTATTTGGCTCTAGCCATACAGGCATCAGGACAGAGAGACAAAGCAAGGGCCATGAGGCTGAGAACTAAAATGAATTTTGTTCTTAACATCCTAAAGCTTGGCCTTGGGTAGAACACAGAAACTGTTTACAACAGATCGTAAATAGTTTACCCAATTCAAAGTGAGTAATTCTCAGAGGCAATAAAGCAAACACCATCAACTCGTTGAGTCAAGCTGATGGGATGAGAACGTGCAGAAGCATTGAACTCGTTGAATAGAAGAAACCCCCACTGGTTGTAGCTGACTTTGACTTTTCCAAGGAATTTTGATGTGACATGACCTGCAGGAATCCTTGCCTGCAGAAAATTGGTGCATTTATTTTTTTTTTGCCGACAAAATTGGCGCATTTATTTTTTTTTTTGCCGACAAAATTGGCGCAGTTAGTTCCTAAACTTTTTGAATAATTCAAAGAGAGAAAATTGAGGAACTCTTTTTTTAGCCCTAGATTTGGTTAATAGATTTTATGTTAATTATTTCTATGACAATA